TACTAAAACAGGTCCATCATACCCAGTAAGCGAAGAAGTGAGATAGTTAAAGAGAGGGTTAACAATTGAATAAACCACAAACTCAAATTTTCTAATCTCTTTGCATAATTAGAAAATTAGAGTTTGTGCCGAAATCTTAGTTACTAACACAGAACTTTTAATGATGTCAGAGATAAATATTTTTTAGATTAAAAAATCATGAATTGAAAGTTTAGCTCCCATTTTCTTTATGTTGCATTATTAAATTCTAAAAAGAGTTTTACAAAATGTTATTTCAATCAATTCGACGTTCTTTTGGGGACAATAATATTAAGGGTAACTCTAGTTTTCATTTTTATGTAACGTAAACACATAAATGAATTCTCAAAGATCTATAAAAATGATCAGATCAATGAAAATACATGTATAAATATATATAAATAGATACAGATGTACAAAAGAATTAGAATAAAGGTGAAGGTTTCTAAGCCCGCATATATAGAAAACAATATTGTATGTACATGTGCATAAATTTAAACTTTTATACAAATATGAGATAATATATAAACACTGTTACAAGGTTGAAAATAGTTGTTAATGCCAGAATCTCCAGATTTTTAAACAATTTTTGGTCATTTCAATTATACTATATACGTTAAAAGGTTGCCATTGTAGTATACACTTCTTTCTGGCATTTTTTAATTTGGATTTCTCGTATTTGAATAATATTTAATAATTATAGATAATATTCAACTTAAAAGCTGTATTGTTTTACAAAACATGGAGAAAACAAATCTAAGAAATAATTCTTTAAATCTCATTCAATTAGATATTCAATTCAATCTAATAATCATAATCAATAGATTGAAATTGACATGTTTTCTGAAAATGACAAAAAGAATTCTTTAATGTTTTTAAAATGGCTTTTTAACTTTGCCCTAAATCTTATAAAGTTAAACCAGTGAAAATTATTTCTTGATATGTTTTCACGAAAAATTAAATATCCGAAATCAGATTATTTTGAGGGTCTTTGGACTTTTCAAATAAGAGAATATTTACCAATTTCAAAATTTTTTATTCTGAACGTTTACCTTTCATGTACAATCCCAAATTTTGATCCCGAAAAAAATATATTCAAAAACTAATCAACATCTAACGTTTTTTGGTTTGTTGTCCTTTTTTCTAAATCGATAAACAACTCTAATCTAATTGTTATCAATAAATTTAAAGGCAATTTGTTAAATAATGAGAATTTTAAAAGAACAAATTTCATATTTAGCATCTAAGCTTGGTTTGATTATGAATTTTTCAATCTTTATAATAATATTCCATATTTAAATAAATCCTAGTTCTGTGAAGTGAAAAAATGGTTTTTAACAACTGCAGTGACTTGCGCATATTTTGTTTATAAGAAGCACTGAAGAAACTCACAGAAATAACGACTTTTTGAGTCAGTAACACGACGATATCTTCCACATTTTCGATCAGATTAATGTTTCCTAGGGGTGCCGTTGGAAATCGGGCATTGGCATTATTGCATGGAGGGATGCTTGAAATTGTGTTTACAGTCCCTTTAAGATCTGAAAGGTTCTATTTATTGTTGAATTATGCAAGGTGCTCAAAATTACTTTTTAGCATTCAACAGTCATAAATTTCCTGTCAGTGCAGTGCAGGGTCATCCCTGCCCTTGCTCTTAACATTCAAGGGATAGTTTGCTAAAAAGGATTTTAAAGAGATAGTTTGCTAAATAGGATTTTAAAGGGATCGTTTGGTAAATATGATTTTAAAGGGATAGTTTGGTAAATAGGATTTTAAAGAGATAGTTTGCTAAATAGGATTTTAAAGGGATAGTTTGCTAAATAGGATTTTAAAGGGATAATTTGCTATATAGGATTTAAAGGGATAGTTTGCTAAATAGGATTTTAAAGAGATAGTTTGCTAAATAGGATTTTAATGGGATAGTTTGTTAAATAGAATTTTTAAAAAGATAGTTCGCTAAATCTCAATAGGATTTTTAAAAAGATAGTTCGCTGAATCTCAATAGTATTTTTAAAAAGATAATTCGCTAATTCTCAATGGGATTTAAAAAAGATAGGTCGCAAAATCTCAATAGGATTTTAAAAAAGATAGTTCGCTAAATCTCAATAGGATTTCAAAAAAAAGATAGTTCGCTAAATCTCGATAGTATTTTTAAAAAGATAGTTCGCTAAATCTTCATAGTATTTTTAAAAAGATAGTTCGCTAAATCTCAATAGGATTTTAAAAAGATAGTTCGCTAAATCTCAATGGGATTTTAAAAAAATAGGTCGCAAAATCTCAATAGGATTTTAAAAAAGATAGTTCGCTAAATCTCAATAGGATTTCAAAAAACTGATAGTTCGCAAAATATCAATAGTATTTTTAAAAAGATAGCTCGCTAAATCTCGATTGGATTTTTAAAAAGATAGTTCGCTAAATCTCTATAGTATTTTTAAAAAGATAGTTCGCTAAATCTCAATAGTATTTTTAAAAAGATAGTTCGCTAAATCTCAATAGGTTTTTCAAAAAAAGATAGTTCGCAAAATATCAATAGTATTTTAAAAAGATAGTTCGCTAAATATCAATAGCATTTTTAAAAAGATAGTTCGCTAAATCTCAATAGTATTTTTAAAAAGATAGTTCGCTAAATCTCAATAGTATCTTTAAAAAGATAATTCGCTAAATATCAATAGGATTTTAAAAAGGATAGTTCGCTAAATATCAATAGTATTTTAAAAAGATAGTTCGCTAAATCTCAATAGTAATTTTAAAAAGATACTTCGCTAAATCTCAATAGTAATTTTAAAAAGATAGTTCGCTAAATCTCAATAGTAATTTTAAAAAGATAGTTCGCTAAATCTCAATAGGATTTTAAAAAGATAGTTCGCTAAATCTCAATAGTAATTTTAAAAAGATAGTTCGCTAAATCTCAATAGAATTTAAAAAAAGATAAAAGTAGTTTTAATCGATTCATCAGTTCCAATTAAAACCAAAATATTTTAGCAGAGAACTACGAAAAGGATTTAATCCGCTGAGAATTGCTTTGCCCCTTTTTACTATTTGATTTATAGTTCTGTTGAGAAGATAAATTCCTGTAATTTCTTAGCCAAAGGTCAACATAACCCGATAAAAGTATCCAAACATATTTCAGCTTTAGTAGACAAAATATTCATTAATTTTTTGATTTAAGTATGAATACATACTTAACTGCCGGCAGAAATAAGAAAATGTTAAAAAGTATTGGATAAATTTAAATTATTCAAAGTTGTCAAGTTATCTAGTCAAGTTAACTGATTCTTTAGTTATCTAGTTGTCAAGTTATCTTGCTGCAGGCAAGTTACCTACTTGTCAAGTTATCTAGTTTTCAAGTTGTCTAGTTGTCAAGTTATCTAGTGATCAAGTTTTCTAGTTGTCAAGTTATCTAGTGATCAATTGTCTAGTTGTCAAGTTATCTAGTGATCAAGTTGTCTAGTTGTCAAGTTATCTAGTGGTCAAGTTGTCTAGTTGTCAAGTTATCTATTGATCAAGTTATCTAGTGGTAAAATTATCCAGTTGTCAAGTTATCTAGTTGTCTAGTAGGACTGAGAAAACGAACAATAAAAAATGCTGTACTGTTCCTAAAAATATTATAGTTTCGCTATTTGGCATGAATCCTAATGTTTAAACAATTTTCCTACCAAGACTTTGCTATGGGTGAAATAAATAGTACAGTTTTAGAACAAATAAAATCTTTATAAAACAGAAATAAAAGAAGATCTTGCCAAACACATTCCAGTTAACAGGATGTTTTAAAATATTGTCTCTTCCAAGCTACATATAACAATAAAGTACAAGCTTATACAAACAAAAAGGACGCTATACTAAGTTTTGAGACTAAATGTTGCTATCAAGCTTGTTTTGGTACAGTGTGTCCCTCTGAACATGACTAAAAAAGTATTTTATCGAATATGCATGAATTGCTTTAGTCTAAATCACACTCCTCTGCCGCTGGAAAGGTTGGCCCAGCTCGGTTATTCAAGTGGCGTGACATGGCTCCGTATAATTACATTAATCAAATAGATTCTGGTACAATAGATAGCAACGTAGAATTTGTACACTTTCAGTACAGTTGTATTCTGACGTCACAAGTGTCAATTCAGTTTTTGTATCCGACAAAATCATCAATAATAGTGATAATTTTAGAATAAAGTGCTTTTCTTACAGTAAAATAAGTTCAATTTTTAGTGTTCTTTAGTTTCTGTTTTTACTTTTTTTTATTTAATCTCGGAAAATGAGAGAAAATTTAGTTTTCCTTGTTATATTTGACACTTGTGACGTAGTGTATAATTGGTTAATTTCTCTGTTGCCACCTATTGTACTTGATAATCTATTTGACATTAATTGATATCCCATATGTTGATTGATTGATATGGTGGACAGAAATTTATCATGTTGTTGTTTAAATAAATGGAAGAAAAACGTCAAGTTGTAGAAACAAATTTCATACTGCAGATTGTGTACAATTTTCTGTATATCATACACGTACAAAATAAACGAAGGATACAATGTGGCAGACTAAAGACAAAATAGATTCTGAACAATCTTCTCCAAAGTCTCATCCTTTGTGGGTAACCCTGTATATTCTTGGTCTCTAGTGCACTTTATTTCATAATTACAATCAAAAACTTCTTCAGAAGGATAATCTATTGATTGAAAAAAAGGGAGCTTAGCCTGGTTATTTAATTGAGCCATTAATTATCTCTATTTGGGTATTCAGTTTATATCAAATAAACGTCAAAAAGGCTCTAAACCGATCGGATCTAAATTTTTTGTGGCGACTCACAGGACCCAAGGGAAGGTACAAACCGTCCTCATTGAACATTTTGAGAATTTGAAATAAAGTGTTGCACATATTTATTTCCTGATTAGAAAATAAGAATTCAACTGAATTTGTAAACACACATTTTAATGTCAAATTTTAGCCTCAAGCTTCCGGAGGATTTTATATATTTATTTTCAGATTTGAGCCTTTAGCTTCCGGTATGTGTATTTACTGGTGCAAAATGCTCGGATAGAGAAAACGGGAAGAGGAGTGTGATATATCTTGTATCCGGAGAGGACAGATATATCTTATATCCAGAGCAGGAGAGAACGGATATATCTTGTATCCAGAGCAGGAGAGGACATATATATATCTTGTATCCAGAGCAGGAGAGGGCGGATATATCTTGTCTCCAGAGCAGGAGAGAACGGATATATATCTTGTATCCAGAGCAGGAGAGGACGGATATATCTTGTTTCCAGAGTAGGAGAGGACGGATATATCTTATATCCAGAGCAGGAGAGGACAGATATATATCTTTTATCCAGAGCAGGAGAGGACGGATATATCTTGTCTCCAGAGTAGGAGAGGACGGAAATATCTTTACCCAGAGTAGGAGAGGAAGGATATATATATTGTATCCAGAAAAGGAAAGGACGGATATATTTTGTATTCAGAGCAGGAGAGGACAGATATATATCTTGTATCCAGAGCAGGAGAGGACGGATATATTTTGTACCCAGAGGTAAACAGGAGAGTTCAAGCCTGAATAAATATCCGTCCGGGGGAATAGGGAAAACCCAACTTAAAACAGGTATTTATTTGCAAGGAACAATTTTTTTTTTTTGTAAAGGAATTGAGTTTTAGCAACAAACTTACATTTTCTAACCCCTATATCATTGCAACCTGATGGTGTAGACCTTTGATATTTCAAACTTAGACTATATGATCTACCAGAATTGATAGTTTAAAATATCAAAGGTCTACGAAAACGGGTTATAGGAATTAGAAAAACTTAATTCCTTTAAGGCTCTTAGGTTTTTTTAAAACTTTAAATGTTGCTTTTAAAACCGCCATTTTTTTTACCAGAAAACAAATATTTACGCGGATTTTACATATATGAATTTCCAAAAAAAATTATATCGATATTTGTGATGTCAGTTTTGTTTGTTTGTATCAAATAGACGAGCTAGATTTTTTGTTAGACCTTACGGATGACAGGAACCTATGGGATATGTATATATCATATATATCATATATGCAAAAAGTCACATAAAAACTATTCGAATTTTTTGTAAATATTTTCATTGGTAAAATTATTGAATTAGCAACAAAAAACTAAATCATTACATAAAGTCTAGGATAGACTGGAGAAAATATTACTGATCTACTTTAACTTGTATCTTTTTTTCAAAATCAAATATGTTTTTTTCACAATTAGATCTGGAATCTTCAATTTCTTGAAAACACAGATTTTGATTAAAGTTTAATTCTTTGATGTTTCCCTAAGAAACTTTGAGAGATATTGTTAAAAGATCAAAGCCTTAATGTTTAGAGAAAAACTGGGAAAGAGGAGCTAGGTGTTTTCCAGCCTGGATATTAGCTTGAGTTCTAGACCTGGTTAAAAGCAGTACAGAAATATGGACCAAAGGAGTACATTGATTAACCATGGATTATAGAAGTACACCAATGAGCTGGATATAAGCAGTACACGCGGAGAAACTGGATACTAGTAGTACATGGAAAAAATAAATATTAGCAGTACACGGAGAAAATAAATATTAGCAGTACACGGAAAAAATAAATATTAGCAGTACACGGAGAAATTAAATATTAGCAGTACATGGAAAAAATAAATATTAGCAGTACACGGAAAAACTATATATTAGCAGTATACTGGGAATCTAGATATTAGCAGTACACTGAGAAACTTGATATTAGCAGTACACTGAGAAACTGGATATTAGCAGTACACGGAGAAACTGGATACTAGCAGTGCATCATAGAGCTGGATATTAGCAGTACACGGAGAAATTAAATATTAGAAGTGCACTGGGAATCTAGATATTAGCAGTACACTAAGAAACTTGATATTGGCAGTACACGGAGAAACTGGATACTAGCAGTGCACTAAGAAACTGGATATTAGCAGTACATTATAGAGCTGGATATAAGCAGTACACTGCTATGAGTGATAAAGTGAATAGAAATTCAAAACGTGAACAAAACAGAATCTTCCAATAATATAGCTTCAGCTTTTGGTTCTTCTAATCCCTGGTTTAGCTCCGGGTTGGGTTTAGAAGGGTATCCGGAGATAGGAAGGAGAAATGAAGCTGGCAAAAGGAATCTATATATAGGTATGCCAAACACTACTTTCTTTACTCAATATATCAAACACATCCACTCAGTCATCCTTCTATTCAATACTCATTCACCCATTCATCCCGTACCTTTCTCTTTTATCTCTTCATTCATTCATTCCTCTCCTTCAACCTTTTCTATCCCTTGGATTTTTCCCCTCAATCATCCTTTTATATGTATGCTCACCCTTTCCCTCAATCATCCTTTTACATGTATCCTCACCCATTCCCTCAATCATCCTTTTACATGTATCCTCACCCTTTCCCTCAATCATCCTTTTCATATGTATCCTCACCCTTTCCCTCAATCATCCTTTTACATGTATCCTCACCCTTTCCCTCAATCATCTTTTTACATGTATCCTCACCCTTTCCCTCAATCATTCTTTTTCAATTTCTATTTATTCTTTTCTTCTTCTTTTACAATTTTTGCGCGGAAAACTAAAAAAACTGAGTTTTTACCGTAAACTCTAATTGTTTTCTAATCCATATCTTTGCAACCTGATTGTGTAAACATTTGATATTTCAAACTTAAATTATTTGATCTAAAAGAATTCATAGTTTTGAAATATCAAGGTCTTTGACATCAGGTTGCAAAGATATATAATAATTACAAAATTAAAGTAAATGGAAAAAAGTTCCTTTATAAATATACACGTTTTGTCCTATTTATACATGTACATGTATTTCTGCATGCGAACAAATATTGTAAAACCTTATCATATATATATCAGCTTTTTAATAGTTTTGTTTGACAATAGCTTTATTATGTACGTATGTTTATAGGATAGAAAAATAAGAATTAGGGAAATAATCAAATTGAAGCATATCGATATACATTTCAATACATTGGATTAAAGTTAAGAACTGTTTACCTTATTCGTCAAGATCAGTTTCTAAACAATGAAATATTTTCTGTTTCGTGTTTAGCGCGCTGACATTGACAATTTGATAAACAAAAACATTTGAAATTTTGTTCGTTCGCGTTAACTGTCTTAAAGGTACAAGTCGGATAAACCGCAGGTAAAATAAGTAGAAGAAAGTGTCAGATCTTTCCCTGGGATATTTAGAAATTATTTTCAGAAATCCCCCTCCCCCCCAAGTACTGTAACATACAGATTGACCTTTGGAAGTGGAGTACATGGCCTGTACAATTAGTAAAGGATTAGAGTACATCATCACTCTATACATACGATACGGGGTGTATACGATACGTTCTTCGGTATGAGTTGTTTTTAACAATTTTCTCATTATAGACAGAAGTAAGATTAGTAGCAATCACCATCGAATATTTTTCTACATAAGCCTATAACACATTTCATGCATAAGTTCTCAGTATTTATATATTTATTATTATTATTATTATTATATGAAAGAAAGTTAAGTTATATATTAAAATCCCTATATTTATCTTTCTATCAAAACTAATCAGATAATGACCCAATATTGCAAATATTTGTCTTAATTCAATTTAGATAATTTCTAGGATTAGTTAATATAGTTCTCCAATGGCCCTGATAGATGGTGAGAATCGGATTACCTTAAACGTGGGTGGAGTAAGGTTTGAAACGTATAAACAGACATTAAAGAAGATTCCAGCTACACGACTTTCAAGGTAAACCTTTGGTACTAAACATATTTATTTTTATTTTCACAAGGATTATTAGACATTTCTATCAACTTTGTATTTACAACTAACGCTATGAGATGGTTACTTTTGATGAGAAAACTCAGCTGAACCCGAAATCCAAAGAAAAAACTTTGATTAATGTAAGGCGATTAAGTGCAAAGTTTCGTTGGCTAAAGGCAGGATTTTTGTGACTTTGACTTGCTAGATGTAATCCGCGCACTAGAACATAAAAATTTCGCATTTCTGCTTTCTGAGGGGGCTTATAGTATAAAATTATAAAAATTCCGACGCTTCTGGGCTTCTTGCTTTTGTTATGATATTAATTAACTTAATAGAAGTAACAAACGAAGTTAGGTAAAACAATGCATAATAATCTTTATAATAAAACAAGACATTCATGTATGTTGCGTATTGGTGACCGGGGGTGTTATAGACTAAAAAATAGACATTTTTTTCAAATTTTTTTAATTTTTATTTTTATACGGGCAACGCCGGGCACTTCAGCTATTAATTTATATAACGTTAAACTCTCTATCTTTAGGCTGACTGAAGCACTGGCCAACTATGACCCTGTCCTCAACGAATTCTTTTTTGATCGACATCCAGGGGTCTTCGCGCAGATACTTAATTATTACAGGTGAAGTTGAGTTTTATTATTCACTAGCTTGGGAACCCAGATTTGCCTGAAGTATTCCCTATTAAAGTCAACCCACTTATCTTACAACTATTAAATCCAGCTAATAACATTACTATGGTTCTACCGAGTTCTCTAATCAAAATTTGAGGCAAATCGGTCTATACAATTTATATGATAGAAAAGCAAGTAACATGAATGACTAAAAGTAACACCGAATAAGTTTTTAACAAAAATAAAACCAAACAATTGCCTTTGACGTATATATATATATATAACTAGGCTTTTAGGACACTTCGCGCCCCCTTTCCTATTTACAATTTTACCTTTGAACTCTGAAAGTCGCTATTTTTAATAGTTCTCAAATGTTCAAGGATTGTTCAGTTGAAAATTTGTACATGTTCAAAAATAATAATTAAACGACATTTTTCAACTTCGACAAGCCATAAACCTTTCCTATGGTCATGTAAATTGCCTGAAAAGGCTTGGGGTCGATTATTTCGTCCGTTTCGTTTATTGGATACAAACAAACAAACAGACACCCAGACAAGCAAAGTATTTTAACAGATTAATGGGCTGATTTTATTTCATAATTGTTAATTAGAAATGATAATCTTTTTGTTGAAACAATGGGTAAAGGATTTGGTATAACTAACATAAAATACAAGTTCCCGATTTTGCCACTTCTCATTTAAATCCCGGCCATTTTCACAAACTAATGGAAACCTGTAAAATAGTTTTTGTTAGTATAAAATACTAGCTGAAGTGCCTTTTGCGTTGCCGTGGAATTAAAAAATTGATTTTTTTAGCCAATGTTACCCCCAGGGTACCATGGGCTACAATTTGGTCCAGCTGTTAGGCCAGCTATAGCTAACATGTATATATAAATATGTATACATGAGTGAAGAGCTTTATTATATAGAAAGGCTTTTAAAAGTTTTGACTTTCCATGGAAAGTAATAAAAAATAATCAAAGTTTGTGAAACTACATCCTAAGTTTGTTAGAGCATTACAAACCTGTAAAATGAACAAAAATGACATATTACCTCGGGGGTAAGTGGAATAAATGTAAACAGAGCTGAAAACTTTTGAATGGAATATCCTTAATCCCGAACGGTTAATTAATCTGAAGATTAATAACAAGAGGAGAACAAGCATTTTTTAATCTGGAGATTAATAAAAAAGAGGAGATCAAGCATTAACCTCGATATCCACCATTCTAAAGTTTTAAAAAAAGATTTGATTTTCGTTTTCTAACTTATTCTGATTTTTGCTTTTTTTCGGAGTGAATAAAATCACTAATGTGCCAGAAAAAAAATCGTCAAAATATATCAAGATCGGTAATAAAATGTTTGTCTTGAAACACTGCGTTCAGAAACGTTAAAATCGTAAAAATACATTGAAAATTAATTTGGTTAAATTGGTAAGATTTAAATTTGTCTGCAGTTAACGACAGGATTATTAGTCTGGTCAAACCTCCGAACTTTTGAATAATGAAAGACCGGGGTTTATTTAGTATGAGATAAAATAAAGCTCCCCTCGTGGGAAACATGGACTTTTGGATCGAATTGAACCCGTTTCCTCCATTGGAAAGTTTCTCAAAATTCTTAAAAAGCTCTTAAATAAAAGTTTTCCTATTAAATCCTCTAATTATATACACGGTTACCCACTAAATCGTCTAATTATATACATGGTTACCCACTAAATCGTCTAATTATATACACGGTTACCTATTAAATCGTCTAATTATATACATGGTTACCTACTAAATCGTCTAATTATATACACGGTTACCCACTAAATCGTCTAATTATATACATGGTTACCCACTAAATCGTCTAATTATATACACGGTTACCCACTAAATAGTCTAATTATATACACGGTTACCCACTAAAGGCCAATATACATTAATAGCAACATCAAACTCTATGAGTATAGAGATCTGAAGACTAAATTTTAGATATAATTTAAAAAATCATAAATTAATTTAGAAAAAATGTTTTTAATTTAAAATTTAAACTGACCTCCCAAATTATTTAATGAATTTTTTCTCTTAAGAATGTTGCTTCTAATTTGCTGTTCTTCAATTTTTTGGCTGATTTATCCAATACAAGACTTATACCGGACAAAAGTCTGGTAGGTGGGAAGGTACCTAAATGCATAACTAGCACAACTAAAGATACTATTATTATTGTATATTTTATTCCCATTGATAAAAACATTGCCGAATATAAAGTGTATGTGAACCCCGCTAGATGGTATGCGGGACTGAAGTATATTCTCTAACTCCTTCTTTAAGTACAATTCAGATAATCTTCCAGGTTTAAACTTGGTTCCTGCTTCATCTACGCATAATTGAACTTGGTTCATACAGACTATTTTTATTTAAGGCACCACGCAGAAGTAAATATTTCATTATTCTCGCGGAAAAGTAATTTGTTTTTCTACATTTTGTGTTAGTTTTCATCAAGAGAAGACTTTTAATATCCGTAGAATAGAATATAAAAGAAAACTACTCAAGCTTTCAAGGGTAAAATAAAGTGTAAACATTGAGCTTAAAACTTTAAAAAACATTACTTTAACATTAAGTGTCAACAATGAGCCTAATACTTTAAAAAGCATTACGTTATAACATGAAGTGTAGACATTGAGCCTAATACTTAAAAAAAAACATTACGTTTACACGAAGTGTCAACATTAAGCATTACGTTAAGCATTTTAAAAAGCATTACGTTATAACATGGAGTGTCGACATTGAGCCTAAAATTTTAGAAAACAATACGTTTACATGAAGTGTCAACATTAAGCCTAATACTTTAAAAAACATTACGTTTACACGAAGTGTGAACATTAAGCTAAATCTATATATAAATTTATCTTGTCTGGGTGATTGTTTGTTTGTTTGTATCCAATAAACGTCAAAACGGCTGAACCGACCGGGCCCAAATTTTGTGTGGGACCTCACGTGACCCAAGGAAAGTTTATGAATGATCAAAATTTTAAATTTTTTTTATTTTTGTAAAATTTTGAAAATGCGCGAAAAAATATTATGAAATCCGCAAATTTTTTTGTTTTTGTTTTATACTGTACAAAGAGAAGATGCTCAGAGATAAAGCCACAGTTGACATTGAGCCCAAAATTGTAGGAACGCTAGGATTTCATGGCTTTTTGCACCCATCTTTTATTTTAATTGGAAACATTTTCTCTTTGTTCAGATTGTAAAACAATAAAAAGAAAAGTTTGCGGATTTTTAAAAAAAAAATCGTGGAATTTCAAAATTTAATGAAAATCGAATTTTGTTGTAGACTAATTTTTAAAATTTTTGTCAAACATTCCCTGGGGTTAAAAAATTGGGCCGAATCGATTCAGTGTGTCAACATGGCGCCTAAATCTTTTAAAAAAATGTAAAAAATGCTTTGTTTGTGATGATAATAGAAAATTTAGGATTTAATTAATTTAGGGGAATTTTCATCATTCGCTAAAGATTAGTCTTAATTATGTTTTTAGTTAGAACATTCTCAATTATAAGAAAACTGAAATTTATAACGAAATCGAGTGTTCAGAGATTCAGAGCCACCAAACCTATTTAGTGAGAGGCAGTAAATTTGAACCACTTCTCTTTTAATGCAGAACCTACGCTCAAGAGAACCCGTTCGACAATACGTCTACATACTTCTTAATTTGTTTCTTCATAGTTTTTCTAACTTTTAGTTTTAAAAAATCCCAATTCTTGCATTTCTTATCCAGTATTGACGCATTGTTTACAACTTCTGTCATGCTGGGGATTGGGGGGACAGGAGGGTAAAATATAAACAAACAAATCAGGGAAACGTAAACATTGAAATTTTCTTAAAACACAAACTTGAAGTTAAAGGAATATATACAGGGTGTCCCACATCAAATTAGACCGAGTCAATGGGTCTATATTACGATTTGGGGGAAATTTAAGAAGATTGAATCATTTTGAAAAATGTAATGAGGCTAATAGATTTTATTTAGCAGAAAATGCTCGATTTTTCGAGTATTTTGTGCGTATTTTGGCGTTAAATATTGGAGATAATCTGATATGATATGGGACGCTCTGTGTATATATGCACATATTGTAAAGTACTGTACAGTACTGTTACTTAGATTAAAGGGACTGTAAACGTAATTTGAAGTGACCCGGTCCAATTGACAGAGTGTCCGATTCTCCCTGGAAAGGTTTTAGAATCAAGAATTAATTTTATCCAAGTTTGTGTTTATTAAAAACTAATATTTCAAAATGTGGTTTCTCTACAGAAGTATGACTTACGCATTTCTTGCTTCAGAAACAATATAGAAATTATCAGAATTAAACAGTTTTAAATTTGGAAAAACTTCGTCGCTCAATTTAATAATTTTTCATAAAAATATCAGTTTTTGTCTCAAAATTTCTCCCTTAATTTTTAAACATAAAAATAAAATTATCTTGTTTTTAAGAGCGGCCCTTTAATTGAAAAATTGCATTTAAATAAGTGGTCCAATACTTTACAAATTGTTTCTGTTTTAGAACTGGAAAGCTGCATTATCCTACAGATGTTTGCGGACCACTGTATGAAGAGGAACTGGAGTTCTGGGGTCTAGACTCAAACCAGGAATCTAAAACCATCAAACACATTCTAAACTACGAATACATCTAGTTCTTGCCATAGGAACCCAGCTTTGCCTAGATATCCCGTATAAAAGTCAACCCACTAAATTTAGAATTTTATAACAACGCAAAGAACATTTCCGTGGTTTTAACGAGTTCCCCTTAATCAAAATTTGAGGCAAACCGGTCAAGGGGTTCCTGAGTTATGATAGGACATTCAAACAAACAGAGATTATTACTTTATATTTATAACTCTATTTAACGGATTATTAAAAACTCTCTCAGCTTTAAATTCTATCATTTACGAATTGCATCCTTATGACGTACGCATAATTACAAACTCTCTTAGCTCCAAATTCTATCTTTTACAAATTGGTTCTTTGTGACGCACTATTACAAACGTTTACTCTCAGCGCCAAATTCTATTATTTACGAGTTTCATCTTTATGACGCATAATAATAAAAACCCTCTCCAAATTATTGCATTTACGAGTTGGATCTTTATGACGTATGATTGCAAACCCTCTTAAAAGTCCACAGACGCGTACCGATGGAAGCCATTGCTTGAGAACAAAAGAAATGGAGTCTTGGCCACAAATTAAAAATTTCTAATTCCTATATCTTTACAAAAAATTCTTTGATATTTCAAACTGACACCACTTGACTTACCAGGATTTATAGATCGAAATAGCAAAGGTCTAGAAAATCGAGTTAAAAAGATATAGCTAGGGATTACAAATCAAAGTTTATGGCAAATACTTAATTCCTTTCCCAAATTCAAGCATACAGTTAGAACAAAAAAACATGAATAATCACTCGACAAGTCTCAAAAAGATTTAATGATCACAGATTTCACTGATGAGACACCAACTTTGTATCTTATTCAATCTTTATCATCTGTGTGTGTGCGAAAAGGAAATTATTCAAATATATTAATTTTTAAACTGTATAAAGTATATATTGGATGGTTGACTAATATTGATTATTAAACAGGATAAAGTATATATTGGGTGGTTGACTAATATTGATTTTTAAACTGTATAAAGTGTATATATTGGGTGGTTGACTAATATTGATTATTAAACAGGATAAAGTATATATTGGGTGGTTGACTAATATTGATTTTTAAACTGTATAAAGTGTATATATTGGGTGGTTGACTAATATTGATTATTAAACAGGATAAAGTATATATTCGGTGGTTGACTAATATTAATTTTTAAACTGTATAAAGTGTATATATTGGTTGGTTGACTAATATTGATTATTAAAAAGGATAAAGTATATATTGGGTGGTTGACTAATATTGATTATTAAACAGTATAAAGTATATATTCGGTGGTTGACTAATATTAATTTTTAAACTGTATAAAGTGTATATATTGGTTGGTTGACTAATATTGATTATTAAAGTGTATACAGTAGATATATAAATATTGAGTGGTTGACTAATATTGATTACTAAACTGGTATAAAGTACATATATTAATACTGCGTGGTTGACTAATATTGATTACTAAACTGGTATAAAGTACATATATAAATACTGCGTGGTTGACTAATAGTGATTATTAAACTCTATAAAGTTTATATATTGGGGGTTGACAACAATCAACAAAGTTGTTGATTGTTGTGAATATTAGAGAATATATTGAATAACAAACTTTAAATAAATACTAGACAAATAAGTCTATTATGAAAACCTATCAGAAATAGATACTAAAGGAACTGTAGACGTCATTTAAAATGATCATCCATTTGAGGAGGGGAAGATTCACAACAGTACCCTTTAAACTTTTATTTGATCAATTTATTTTTAAAAACCATGTCATTTATTTTAAAAAAAACAAGGACATGTCATTTATTTTTAAAAACATGGACATGTAATTTATTTTCAAAAACAAGGACATGTCATTTATTTTTAAAAACGTGGACATGTCATTCATTTTTAAAAACATGGACATGTCATTTATTTTCAAAAACATGGACATGTCCTTTATTTTTAAAAACATGGACATGTCATTTATTTTTTAAAACCATGTCATTTATTTTTAAAATCATGGACATTTCATTTATTTCAAAAACATGTCATTTATTTTTAAAAACAGGGACATGTCATTTATTTTTGAAAACATGGACATGTCATTTATTTTCAAAAACAAGGACATGTCCTTTATTTTTAAAAACATGGACATGTCATTTATTTTTAAATACGTGGACATGTCATATATTTTTAAAAACATGGACATGTCATTTATTTTCAAAAACAAGGACATGTCCTTTATTTTTAAAAACATGGACATGTCATTTATTTTTTAAAACCATGTCATTTATTTTTAAAAACAAGGACATGTCATTTATTTTTAAAAACATGGACATGTCATTCATTTTCAAAAACATGGACATGTCCTTTATTTTTAAAAAACATGGATATGTCTTTTATTTTTAAAAACATGGACATGTCATAAAATCATGGACATTTCATTTATTTTCAAAAACATGTCATTTATTTTTAAAAACAGGGACATGTCATTTATTTTTGAAAACATGGACATGTCATTTATTTGCAAAAACAAGGACATGTCATTTATTTTTAAAAACGTGGACATGTCATTCATTTTTAAAAACATGGACATGTCATTTATTTTCAAAAACATGGACATTTCCTTTATTTTTAAAAACATGGACATGTCATTTATTTTTAAAACCATGTCATTTATTTTTAAAAACAAGGACATGTCATTTATTTTTAAAAACGTGGACATGTCATTCATTTTTAAAAACATGGACATGTCATTCATTTTCAAAAACATGGACATGTCCTTTATTTTTAAAAAACATGGATATGTCTTTTATTTTTAAAAACATGGACATGTCATAAAATCATGGACATTTCATTTATTTTCAAAAACATGTCATTTATTTTTAAAAACAGGGACATGTCATTTATTTTTGAAAACATGGACATGTCATTTATTTTTAAAAACCTGGACATGTCAATTATTTTTAAAAACATGGATATGTCATTTATTTTTAATAACATGGACATGTCATTTTTTTTTTAAATGGACATGTCATTTATTTTTAAAAACATGGACATGTCAGTTATTGTTAAAACATGGACATGTCATTTATTTTTAAATACGAGGGTATGTCATTTATCTTTAAAACATGGACATGTCATTCATTTTTAAAAACATGAACATGTCATTTTTTTAAGCATACAACGCACTTAAGGGCACCTTTGCTAATCAGACATGCCACTCTATAATATGGGCCCGGGGTCATCTGAAATTAGCTTCAGTAAAAAGTTTATTTTTTTTAATTTCATAGATAAATAGAAAGAGACTTTTATATCTTTCAGGGTGTGTTGAAAGGATTTTTTAGTTAATTATTAACTCAGTAATTATTATATTATAGAGGACGTGAGTCAGACTCTAATAAAAACGCATAAATAACTTTCAGTATATATATTTCTTATAACTTATTACTAGAGGGTTCAGAACTAGAGTCAATATCGATATCGCACGTGTAGACTGTAGATGATGACATCAGTACTATGCCCCGTATCCGTTCTATCTCATTCTGTTGAATCTTGTGGAACTAGTTTAACGCGGCCAGGCATCGTCTTCCACAATATTATAAAGATTTATTCACACACAAAGATATAAATACATATATAGATGGTGTAGTTTAAATTTGTTTAATTACATTTTGAAAATACAGGTTTCCAAAAGAAAAGAGAAAAATTATGCAAAATTATGCAAAAATAGAAAACATTGATTTTTAATCACTACATAACATATTTATATATTAATATTAATATGCTAATTCAATAGTACTGTTCAGCTTTAAAGTCATAAATACTAAATATTAACCTTGAAATATGAAAACATGCTACTAATACTAAATATTAACCTTAAAATATGATAAATAAATAAGTTACTTTAAAATAGGAAAGTTGTTATATATAAAAATTCATTAAAGGGGGAGGGCTTGTTGGGGGGGGGGGGGGTCAAGTCATGATTTTTATGTTTGTCTTGTGTCTATAGGGATTGCTCAATCTAAGTTTGATGATTATAAAGTATAAACAATACAGAAGTATCAGATTGATAATAAAACTAAGAGAAAACTACAATTATACATAATTTACCTATTTATAGATTTGATTCACGGTAATTCAGATGTACAAAGTTTTTAGTTTTTTTTTATGCCTGATATTTTTGCATAAATTCAAACTATCTTTGGTTCTTTAGTTCGATCAAGAAAAGTTGGCAGTACTAGTACAGTTTTTAATATAGAAGAAGAGGGAATAATTTTGTATTGGTCCTGGAATTAATATTTATCATGGTAAAGGAGACGCAAATAAGAGTAATATGCACTATGATGTAGACGCAGGAGAGAGAACATAAAATCTAAATTATAATTATTTAAATAGTTAAATTATAATAATGTAGAAACTTGTAGATACAATATATGGCGACGACAGAACTTAGTTTAATTGCTGAAACATTTATTTGAGCAAAGCCAGCAGTTAAAGCAATTAATGGGATATTTATTGTAATACCATGAATCCTGTTGTATCAATGTTCCGCTGTTCTTCTTGTAACAGAGGTTTCGAATATTATTTACTCCAGTGTATAAATTTATCTCTTGTGCGTCCCCGTCCCCGTCAACAACGATATAAGATTTGTTTTGTTGCGCAGACGAAACCAGGTTTTAATGACAGGCATATTTAAATATTAACTTACTAAATTTAAACGACATTTAAACTATGACTTGGAACAAATTAAATTCAAATACAGTGTAATCGTAAATATCTGTTCTAGATAAAAAAAATATAGAGGCAAAATAACGGTTTTTAAGAAAATATATTATCCGAAATACTAAAAAACTAAAAACGGTCCGTAATCACTGGTATTAGCATGTGTTGATGTTTTTTATTACTACTTACTTTGTACAATATTTTTTCCTTAAAATCATATATAATATTTTCCATAAAAACTATTTCTTGGATGACGTTGTATCTTTTCTAGGTTGATGACTTTTTTTAAGGCTATAGCTTTAAAAATCTTTATATAGGCTTAGGTAATCTTAAACTTACTGAACTAAATTCTTAACTTGCATGAAAACTGAATACTTAAAAATAATCTATAATTCAACTTATATATTATGTATCTTGCAAATCCTGCAGTGGATTTAATACAGTCTTTTCATCAACTCTAGATAATTATAAACCAATATTTTTGAATTTATTTTTGCACGTCGTTTATAAAGAGACATGTATGATTTACACCTGTACCCATTAAAGATTTGGATATCCATGATTTTATTTTTTGAGGTTAATCATTTTTCATTTAAATTTTAAATTGTGAAAAGCAATGGAGGAAAAAGTCAGAATAACACACTTTTCAAGGTAGAAAAAAGACATTATAAACAGACTAAGGTGTGATGGGCAAGTTTATTTTGATGACAAGTATATTTAGTTTATTTAGTAAATTTAACAGTTCCTATAATCAAACGCGTGGGAAATGTATTTTGATAAAGTATCTTGTAGTTTGACTGATAAAAACTGCTTTAAATGTTTCGGAACTTTTGGCTGAAAAAGTTGAAAATGAAAAAATATTGTTTCAAATGATGGGAGAACGAATAAAGAGGAAAGGATTTTAAATCAAATCTGAAATATTAAAAACTTAATCCTGAACTTAAAGGTGAATATTCATTTTTAAAGAAAATAAGCTATTTCAGTTTTCTCTGCAGATTTAAACTTTATCTAAACTTTATATACAAATATATACTATACTTAAATCCAAGTTCAAAACATCTAATATTAACCCTATCTCTGCTGGGGTACTTGAAAACCAGGATATGCTGGGGGGGGGGGTCAAATTGACCCCCCCCCTCTAAATCCCATGTTTGATGTCCAAATATGACAAATGATACATCATTGGAAAGCTCTTGTGCTCTACTTTTAGAATCTGCAAAAAAATTTGCAAATTTGCAAAAATTGAATTTTTTATCGCAAAATCCAGTTATATAGTAAAAATGTTTGCAAAAAAAATTTGTCCAAAAAATGAAAAATTATACATTTTTGAAAAGCCCTTGACCTTGCCATTTCAAATATGCAAAATGCAAATTTTTGCAAAATTTTAAATAACCTGAATTTTAATCAAGAAAAACTAAAAATGTGCAAATTTCTTTTGACAGGTTGTTTGCAAAAAATTTGCAATTTTTTTTCGCAAAACTTGTGCAATTCGTTTTTTTATGTCAAAGGCTTTCCAAAAAGCTAAATTTTATCAAAATCTGACAAGTGGAAGTGGGTCAAAACAAAGATTTAGTTTGTTACAGGAAAAGCAGTCATTCAGGTAGTGTGCCTGAGGACTCAGGCAGTTAGTATTAAAGCCCGGTTTTAGGCCTAAAGGGAGGGCTTTGGGTATGTAGGAAAATTCAGAAAATTTCAACAGCCTCAGACCAATACTTTTTGAGTTATGTAAAAAAAAACTACAGGGGGGGTCAATTTGACCGAAAGCCTAATTTCACTTTAGATGTAAGAGTGTCATGTTTGTTTTTAAAACAGTTGAAAGCTTTGTCTTATTAAGATCAATTAAACAATTTTAACGCCAGGAAAACAATGATGTTCTCATTATTGATCAGATTAAGAGTTCCGTTGTGAATCGTGCTTGTCATCTTAATAGGAATGGACATTTCAGATTTTAAAATATTATGAATTATATGTTGAATCAAATCATGGAGCTTAAAGGAACTGTAAAGTAAAATTGAAAGGGGTTATAGGCTGAAAGCTGATCACTTGTTCCTGTCTAGAGAAATTGATATAAAACTGTGTCAATTTTATACGAAAATTCATATATTTACAATTTTGTGTAGAAATTGTAGGTTTTAACAGATCATATTCAGCAAATACGCAACCAATCTGAAAACGAAGATATCCCAGAGAAACCTAATTGTAACTTAGTTTTTCTCCAACTATTATTTTTATAATTTTTATTTTTAATATATGTAATTGATAATATTATTTATAATTCTGGATCACGCACCTCTGCCCCTTTAGTAAAAGTAAATTCAACATATATGAAGTCTGAACGCGTCAACCTTGTTGCACCGGCTGGTCTTGTTGATTGTCTGCTTTATTAACCCAATGTCCGCGCGGTACAATACAAACTGGGACCGGAAAGGTTGACCCGGCTCGGAAATTCAAATGTACTACGACTGCCCGTGGTATGACGTCGTCAGACTCCCACCAAAAGTAGTGCAATATACTAGTCACATGATACAGACAGAGGCACGTGACCAGTATCCTGCACTCTCCTTGGTGAGAGTTCTGTTGCATATATATATGAATTTTCGTATAAATTTACACAGTGTTTTATCAATTTCTTGAGAAAGGAACATCAGATATAACTTTCATGGGTCGCGAGCAATTGAGCTAAAGTGATTAGTTTTCAGTCTATACCCCCTTTCATTTTTCCTTCACAGTCCCTTTAACTCTATCTCCCTCAAAAGTTCCAATCCCAGATTAGCTAAAGCTGAAGACCCAAAATCAACAATTACCTAGGTTTCTAATGACCTCTCATTTATCAAAGATTAATTAACATTTTCTATAATTATATAAATATATAAATAATGTACACAATAATCAACAAGTTTATCGATCCACTGCATTCATTATGCACAATATATTGCTAAACATAAAATACTTTTCTTATTCAAGATCAGTCTATTTATCTTTTCTGTTTCGCGTGTGAAATGTAAAGTGATACAGATATTGCTGTTACGAAAAAATGAGGATTTTGTCGATAACTTGTTAAAAACCAGAGCAAAAAACTAGTGTACACAAGTATATGTACACAAGTATATGTACACAAGTATATGTGCACAAGTATATGTGCACAAGTATATGTGCACAAGTATATGTGCACAAGTATATGTGCACAAGTATATGTACACAAGTATATGTGCACAAGTATATGTACACAAGTATATGTCTAGTGCTACAAAAAAAGTAGTGAGGTAAAATTAATGTCAACGCATTTCGACAATTCTAAGTCGACCCTGTCATAAAAAATTAATCCAACTTTTCAAAGCAATCTGGATACATGTGTTCTGTAAAATTACTCATATTGAAAGGTGGATAAACAAAAACTGAAAAAACCTTTTTGTGTGAAATAACAAAATTGCTTTTTGTCTTTACAAAAAAATGTTTCCAACTGTATATCCTGGATATATTTCTACAGTTCTATTTTAATCTAAGTAATAAATATATTCAAGCTTCCAAGTGAAAATACAAATTTTTTCATAGAGAACATTTAGAGTCTACTTAACTTTTCCATAGAGAACATTTAGAGCCTACTTAACTTTTCCATAGAGAACATATAGAACCTACTTAACTTTTCCATAGAGAACATTTAGAGTTTACTAAACTGTTCCATAGAGACATATAGAGACTAGCTAACTTTTCCATAGAGAACATATATAGTCTAACTAACTTTTCCATAGAGAACATTTAGAGTTTACTAAAATTTTCCATAGAGAACATATAGAGTCTACTTAACTTTTCCATAGAGAACATATAGAGTCTACTTAACTTTTCCATAGAGAAAATATAGAGCCTACTTAACTTTTCCACAAAGTATGTGTTGACCTTTCAGAGTTTACTTAATTTGCCCTAAATTTCATGTTTTCTGACAATTATTTTGCCCCCTTCAAAAAATATTGGAAACTCTATGATTGTGTTCCATCCTCCCCCCTGAAAATGACTCGGTGGCGCATGTTTAAAAGCAATGTTTTCTTGGATAATTTACTAAATTGATGGAATGATAACTCAGGTTGAACCCTGCTGTTGGATGACCTACACAACCCATAGAGATACACAGGTCAGTCGATTTTATTTAAAGGAATCTGTCGGCAAATTTTCCCAAATCAAAACTATGAAAAAATCATGATAAATAAAGCACAATGCTTGTTGTTTAGAATAGAACTAGCCTATATCTGAAAAAATAATTTTATTTCAATAGTTTTGCTAAATTTTTGTTGAAGTTTTACTTCTTTCCAACCCGATTTCAGATTTAATCTGCCAATTCATATTTTTATGATTTAGATGTTTTCAAATATTTCAGCAGCCCTGCCAACGTTTTCTCTTTTCTTCAATGTTCTTTTTATATTAAAGAATTCTGTACATACATTTTCCTCTTGGCAATTTTCAAATTATATTTTAACTCACATTCGTTCTTTTTTTGGAAAGATTTTGGATAAATCAAAGATAAAGATTTCAAATTTTATCATAATCTTGAAAGGTAAGGGCTGGAACTAAAGGCACTAAACCCATTTAAACCTGGCACTCTTAAACCGTATTTCGTTTATTTCAATAATATTGATAAAATTCTCTCTTTTCCTTTACAGCTTGATTCATCTTTTTCCACAAAGAAAACTCTAAGGGAGTGTTCACGAAACATGAAAAGAAATAAATACTTAATCGGAATCAAGGATGTGATCGCTACTAATTTTAGTTCTACATACATATACGTATGTCTATAAGAAGGGAATGGCTGGAGACGACTATTGCTATGAACGGATAAGTCCAATAAAACTTACGGATTGATGCGCGGCATTCTCAATCAAGTGCGCTCGAATGAAAAGTTCAGGAGAACGATTTAATAACAAAGATGACTTGTAAAATTTCAAGGAGCAGGATAAATCAAATTAAAAAATATACGGGTTGAGTGGTACAGGGTGTCCCAAAAAACATGGGAATTCAGTTACGAATTAGATATCGTATTTGTTATGAATTAGCATTGTAATACCTAATTTCAAAAGCCATCATATCATTATGTCTGCTAGAGTTTATTTTATGAAAAGGGTAGAAGACTGTAAGGATGCGTCTTTAATGTCTCCGCAAGATGAACAGTGAAGACATTCAAGTTTACTCTGTCTGTATACTGCAATTTTCTTGTTTTACTAAGTACAACCGTATGCAGTCAAAACATAAACAAACAAAATGTGAACATAGCAGACGAAACTCTTACTGATTACAGCTTTCTCAGTTGGTATCACTATACTAAATCAAAGAATTATTTAAAAAGACGATATCGAATTCGTCACTGAATTCCCATGTTTTTTGGGACACCCTGTACAATATGCATCATTTAGTGAATTTACATGTTCTTAACATTAATTGGATTGCCTGTACCCTCTTTCATTTTTCGCGAACACTCTCCTATAAGTATACTACCCCCATTTCTTGTATTTCTTGAAATGTCAATAAAAATTGATCAAGGAATATAATGTTCCCTACAAAAAAAATTGTACAGGAGTTTTTGGGATGAACACAAGCAAAGCATTGCCTTAGTAGCTCTGTTTTTGTTTACATTCCTCACAGAAACTGCAGTACATTGTATTTGTAAACAAAGTTATGGAGGTTCCTGATGTGTATTCCTTGATATTGATTAAGTGCGAGATTATTCCTTCTCTCCATAGAATAAATTCCAACTATTTATGTACATTGTTCAATATTCAATATATATATATTATAGACATATATACATATATATATATATATATATATCGAATGTTCTCTCTATATCAATGGATTAACTTTTCCATAGAGAACATTTAGAGCCTACTTAACTTTTCCATATAGAACCTACTCAACTTTTCCATAGAGAACATATAGAGCCTACTTAACTTTTCCATAGAGAACATATAATCCCCCCCTTTCCAATACCGAATGAAGGTTAATGTTTAATGAATATTCATAGATTGATAACAACACAGATAGAACACTAGATGTTGTCTTTTTAAGATTTAGGGGTTTTTCGTTTACAATAACCCAGAGGCAAAAGTCCAAAGGAGTTTTGCTCTTGTCTTGTAATTCAACACTGCTTGCGCGGAACTCCTTTGGGATTTTGCCTCAGTGTTATTGTAAACGAAAAACCTCTAAATCTTGAAAATACGACATTTAGTGTTCTATCTGTGTTGTTATTAATCTATGCGAATATTAATCACTTGATTTATATCTAACTAAACATTAATTGCTCTAATAATGAGTTCACATATCTTATTAATGAATAATGATCTTTCCATTAACCTCCTTCCTTAAACCTTCCATACTTGAATTTCTAATATTTTCTTTGTATTATCACTTCAAATAAAATATATCGGACGTAAAATTAAACGTTTTAAATTCTAATATTCAAATAAATTTTATACTTTTGCGCAAAATCCAAACTAAAGGAGCTCCAAGGACAAAGATTCTGAACTCTTTCCGTCCAGTTTGAAGTGTAAAATATTCTATTGATCTTGCTTGTCTGTTTGACGTTAAAACGCCTGAACCAATCTATTTTTATGGGACCTGATATATCATTTTCAAACTATTTTGGAAATCATTTATGGAAAATTTACGAATTTGTCTTTATCATATTCCTTTTTTCTTCCCCTCGCATATTTCCATATTTTTGTCATTGCGATATCTTTCCATAATTAACTCTTAAACTCGCAGCTTGTTGTCTATTTTCTTTGTTTCCTGCCCCCATCTTCCCGGACCTTCGGTCCAACATTAAATATTTCTCCTACTTTCTTTTCCCATTTTTTTACGTTAAAATTTTATATTTTTAAACTTCTTTTTTTCCCCCATATTTGTCATATTTTAGATTTTTCATGATTTTTAACTGTTTTTTAACATTTGTTTAGTTGATAAACTTATCCACACGCAGGTTTACTCTCTATCTATCTAACTAACTGTTAGTTCTTCCTTATCCACTCCAACTTTGAAAACTTTTCTAGAATGTTCAACCAAAGTTGGACAAAAATATTTTTTCTATTTTAGAAAAACAATATTGTTCAGGCAACCCTAGCAATCCTTGACAAGCTGGATATAGAGACGGATAAACCTACAGAGGAGGAGATTGCCAAGAAGTTTGGATTTGAAGAGAGTTATCATAGTGGACAAATCACAAGGAGCACTATTCTCATTTTCATATATTGATATTTGTGTCCCTCGTATCCCTACTGTACAGTGTAGCCCTTACACCTACGGTCCAGTATACCCCCTACCCCTACTGTACAGTGTACCCCTACTGTAAAATGTACCCCCTACCCCTACTGATACTTAAAATGTACCCCCTACCCCTGTTTCCTATATTGAAATTCCTTGTATTATTATTCAGGGTGTAAGCCCTCTCTTCCTCCCACTACATCCATAATTCTCATTCCTTTATTCCTCTCTAAACTTTATCAAATAATATTCAACAATAAATAGATTTAAATTAGATTTCGCCAAAACCAACTTTTTCCAAACTATGCAAACAAAATGCAGGAATAATAAAAATAGTTCTTGATTGGTGTGTATTAATTCCCATTGCAATTGTGCCATAAAAAGACCTTGATATGTGTTATCTATAATGTTTGCTCTCCCCCCCTCCACCTGCGTTGTATAAAGAATAATGTATTATTAAACAATGACAAGATAAAGCTGTTGATAAGAGAATAATGCTGTGTGAAGGTGGGAGAGAACCAAACCAAAGATATGGTCCTTGTTTGACGAACCTCACTCATCCCATTGGGCTAAAGTTGTCTCCTTAACTTCAGGTAACAAAGGAATTAAGTCTTTGCCAGAAGCTCAAATTTTCCAATCCCTATATTTTTGCAACATGATGTGTAAACCTTTAAAATTTCAAACTGAGATTATTTGATCTAACATTCATAGTTTGAATTATCTAAGATCTTCGACATTGGGTTGCAAAGATATAGGGTTTGTAAAATCAGAGTTTGTGGCTAATAAAAGCTATTAAGAAACCCATATATATGCACTTGAAGTTGAACGAAGAAACTCCGTATCTTTAAAACAAAACATAAAGGGAAAAATTATAAATATTGCATGAGAAGTTACTGTATCAATGAACAAGTGTGATATATTGTCTATAAAGGAAGAAGATTGGAAGATATAAACTTCCTTAATCCAATGGTCAACTATACCCTTCTATACCCTCTATATATATAGATTCGATAAAAAGAAAATGAAAATAGAATCATCCCATCCGATTTTTAGAGAGAGAGATAGAATAAACTAGTTTTGGAAAAGTTTTTTATTTTTATTTTTTTAAATTAAGACAAATCTTTCTGTAAAGTACAAACAGATTTAACAACGTTAATGTCATAAAATACAAAATGGATTGAAGATTGTAAAAAACTAAACACTATAAACGTTTTATTGTGTGTCTGCGTGAAAAATGAAAGTATATGTTATTGTTGTGTTTATACGAGAAAAAATCGGTGCTATTTTGATTTCAGTCCAATGTAAAAAGGAATCAACAATCATGGAAAAAAATTGAGAAAATATTGTGTCAAAGAGAGACTTTATTAGCCATTTAACTTGAATTCAATTCATGCCAAATAAGAAAAAATTTAATTTGAGAAAGAAATGTTTCAGGGTTTTAACCAAAGTTCTTTTTGTTAAAGAGTTTTTTTGAATAAAAAGTTTTAAATTATGGATAAATTTGCCTTTATCATACTTAGAAGTAAAATCAAAACCATGAGAACCACGAGATCATAAAATTGGACCAGTAATTTTTCATCAATTTTACCTTAAGTCTGTAGGAAATGTTACATTTAAATAGAAATAAATTTGTTGACCTTTAAAAAGGTCAAAAAATATTCTAATAAAGAAATCAGGAAAAACCCAAATATTCTATAACGTTTATTTAAGAAAAATAAAATTGTTTTGAAATATTTGCACATATTGCGAATTAAAATTGGTTGATTGAAATTAATAAAGGAAAAGACAAACATCAGCAGCAACTTCATGTTGGTAATGGTGTTGAAAGGATTGGAACAGTTGGAGCTTCATGATGGTCAGCTCACAGGTGTCAGCATCTTGGCATCAAAGGGTTCACATCTAAGCGACAGTTCTGGGGGATTAGCAGTCAGTAACATGTGTAGGGAGGAACTTGATTTGCCTCTCATCCCCTAGGACATGCAACTCTGGAGGGGGGTTTTGCAGTCTGTAACATGTGAAGGGAGGAACTTGATTTGCCTCTCAATCCCCTGGACATGCGACTCTGTGGAGGTCGGCTTAGACATTAGCAGCATTTGTTGCTAGAGTAGACATCGGCGGCGGGATGAAGGAGTTAGTAGTTCCATGTTAGAGGTGTTCGCATCTCGACATTCTAAAGCTAACTGACGCTGTATGGAGTAGGAGCTAGGTTGAGCGGGGATTTGACATGTGGGGCGTGCTTGCTTCATTTCGTGGTTCCTGTGTACACACGCATTTAGAGAATTAACAGAGGCATATTGGGTCGGTAAAATCGTCTTCCTTATATTTTCGAATTTATGTTAACAAAATTGTACCGATTAATACGAATTCAATATTGATTAATCCAATTATTACAACTTCGTTAATTATCCGCAAAGTCTCCCTTTAATATGGTCCCCTTTTTTAGAGTCCTCTTGTGTACTGGTTCCTTTCTTAGAGTCTTCTTGTGTACTGGTTCCTTTTTTAAAGTCCTCTTGTGGTTGTGTACTGGTTCCTTTTTTAGAGTCTTCTTGTGTACTGGTTCCTTTTTTTAGAGTTCTCTTGTGTACTGGTTCCTTTTTTAGAGTCTTCTCGTTTACTGGTTCCTTTTTTAGAGTCCTCTTGTGTACTGGTTCCTTTTTTAGAGTCTTCTCGTGTACTGGTTCCTTTTTTTAGAGTTGTCTTGTGTACTGGTTCCTTTTTTTAGAGTTCTTTTGTGTACTGATTCCTTTTTTTAGAGTTCTCTTGTGTACTGGTTCCTTTTTTAGAGTCTTCTCGTGTACTGGTTCCTTTTTTAGAGTCCTCTTGTGTACTGGTTCCTTTTTAGAGTCTTCTCGTGTACTGGTTCCTTTTTTAGAGTCTTCTTGTGTACTGGTTCCTTTTTTAGAGTCCTCTAGTGTACTGGTTCCTTTTTTAGAGAGTCTATTTTGACTGTAAAGATTGTTGAATATTAATAATTAGATCCTGCTTCATTAAACGAAGTATATTAGACTGCAATATTAAGCATCTTATTCCTTCAGGATAGAATTCGCAGAATATTAATATCTGTTAAGGGATTTTATCAAATAGCACAAAGAGAGTAGTTTTAATGAGCAGTAATTCATTTGTTTAGATATCAATTCTAGCACATTTAAGACGTATATGCAGATTTAACAGCTCTTTGATCGTAATTTGACCAAGGAAACATAAATTTTTCGTTTTTTCGCTTTTTAAATTTTGTTTCGCCGATTAAATTTAAAATGAAAAAGTATGAAAATACTCATAAAACTTTAAGATTTTAATTTAGATTTTAAAGGACACACTGATTGCTTTATACGAACAAAAATACGCATAATAATAATTAGATGTTGTCTTATCCTCGGTAGTATTGGAAACTCTGTCCCTACTTTTTGCGCGTCAGTACAGTTGAACACTGTAAAAAATCAGTACAATTGAACACTGTAAAAAATCAGTACAATTGAACACTGTAAAAAATCAGTACAATTTAACACTGTAAAAAATAAAGAGTTCTATGTATTCCCACTATAGAAGACTTTTTTATTCACTGTTTATCTAAAAAGTTCATTATGTTTCAATTGTTTAAAGGTCGTCTTACTATTAAATATTTGTGTAGGTCCCACTGGATCAAAAAAGTTAGTTCTGTGTTCTGTCATTGGTATATTTTTATTCCCTGATTAGTGGTTATTGTGGTCAAGATTTGGATTGAAAAGACTCGTACAAGATGAGTCCATGTAATAGTTAATCAAAAGTTACAAAACATTAATGGAAGAAGAATGTTTTGATTCAAATTGTAAAATAAATTGAGAGAATAAAGTTTTGAGAAAGATATGCGAGATAAGTTTGGAGTTTAGTGAATGAGGCTGGAAATTAAAAGAAAACACTGTTAGTGACAGGTATACTTATTATGCACATGTCTCAAAAGAAATTTGTCAAAAAATCAATTTTAGAATCAATTATTTCGTTCTTATCATTATGTAGAATTTCTTATTTTCTATAAATTTATTCGCAGATTTCTTCAAATTCTTCAAATGTCGTCTTTTCAAGAAAAATTCCAGATAATCTGCAGAAAATCTTTGTGAACAATTGAGTGATTATAGAAACTAATAATTGAATAAGATTACTTATTTTCGATGCTAAGATTAATTTTTATTTTTTATTTCCTAAACAACTAATTAGTTTACTGTAGAATTTTGTTTAAATTTTTTGTCGTCGTTATTTAATAATTAAAAAAAATCTGAAAACGTGTAACCACCCAAAAGTACGATTTTTAACGTCGAATTTGCGCTCAAACTCAGTATTTACAGATCTTTAAAAAGTTTTATATGTCTCAAATGAATCCTAAAGAATTTGTCCACAACACTGCATACTCAGTTCAACTACCTTACATAGCCGGTCTGTCCCTTTAACAAACATTACGTTTTTACCTTCATAGAATAAATATAATGATAAAAAGTACATTTTCAAAACATTCAGATCAGGGTTAACACATGTTTTGTAAAATTCGAAGGGAGTGACCGGCAATGTATGGTAGTTGAACTGAAAATGTAATATCGCGGAGAATTTTTTTTGGATTGATTTGAGACATATAACACGTTTTAATGATGTATAATTACTGAGTTTGAGCGCAAAGTCGACTTTCAAAATCATCCATTTGGGTGGTAACGTTCAGAGAATCACTTTTTTAAAATGATTAAATAACGACGACAAAAATTGTTTAGGAACAGGTTGAGAAAACATAAAATTAACTCTCATCATCGAAAATAAGTAATCTTGTTCAGTTTTTAGTTTCTGTAATATCTCATTGCTCACAAACATTTTCTGTAGGCTTTATTGCCGCCTGCCGGTCACTCCCTTTATTATATTAACTCTTTACCTAATGCATAGAAACATAATTTCAAGTCACTTTCCATTTATATAGTAACCATGTCCGAAAGCAATATTAGTTTACAATAGTTTCTAGGAAGAAAACAGAAATAGTTTACAGTAGTTTCTAGGATATAAGAAAACATAAGAAAAGATATTTAATACTGGTACACCCTGTAGTTTCTATATTTAATACTGTTACACCCTGTAGTTTCTATATTTAATACTGGTACACCCTGTAGTTTCTATCTTAAATACTGGTACACCCTGTAGTTTCTATATTTAATACTGGTACACCCTGTAGTTTCTATATTTAATACTGGTACACCCTGTAGTTTCTATATTTAATACTGGTACACCCTGTAGTTTCTATATTTAATACTGGTACACCCTGTAGTTTCTATATTTAATACTGGTACACCCTGTAGTTTCTATATTTAATACTGGTACACCCTGTAGTTTCTATATTTAATACTGGTACACCCTGTAGTTTCTATATTTAATACTGGTACACCCTGTAGTTTCTATATTTAATACTGGTACACCCTGTAGTTTCTATATTTAATACTGGTACACCCTGTAGTTTCTATATTTAATACTGGTACACCCTGTAGTTTCTATATTTAATACTGGTACACCCTGTAGTTTCTATATTTAATACTGGTACACCCTGTAGTTTCTATATTTAATACTGGTACACCCTGTAGTTTCTATATTTAATACTGGTACACCCTGTAGTTTCTATATTTAATACTGGTACACCCTGTAGTTTCTATATTTAATACTGGTACACCCTGTAGTTTCTATATTTAATACTGGTACACCCTGTAGTTTCTATATTTAATACTGGTACACCCTGTAGTTTCTATCTTAAATACTGGTACACCCTGTAGTTTCTTTATTTAATACTGGTACACCCTGTAGTCTCTATCTTAAATACTGGTACACCCTGTAGTTCCTATCTTAAATACTGGTACACCCTGTAGTTCCAATCTTGAATACTGGTACACCCTGTAGTTCCTATATTCCCACCAATGTATAGGATACACCCTGTAGTTCCTATATTCCCACCAATGTATAGGATACACCCTGTATCCTCTATATTCCCACCAATTTATAGGATACACCCTGTATCCTCTATATTCCCACCAATATATAGGATACACCCTGTATCCTCTATATTCCCACCAATATATAGGATACACCCTGTATCCTCTATATTCCCACCAATATATAGGATAGTTTCACTTCAATGAATTTAGATTAAAGCCTTGAGCGGAGTTTTCACTGCACACTGCACACCCAGATCTTAGATAGGATTAAACAGAGATAAAACATTTCACAACTTTCAGACCAGATGTTTATTGTTTACGATCCATGATGACAGTACAGTAAGATGATAACAATTACCATCACGAATATGATTAAAATCCCCTGTTTGGTATTAAAATTGAAACGTCAGATCAGGTTTTTTTTATATATTTATTACTTATATATATATATATATTTATGCAAACTTTATGTGCTTCAAATACTGAAAATTCTGTACTACAGGCCATGTTTTGTTTACATTCCTCCCAGGAACTGCAAGGAATCTCATTTGCAAAACAACTATTGTGGGTTCCTTGTTTTTTTTTTCTTGGTGAAATATAATGTCGACATACTTTTCTCTTTGATCTAGCAGAACTTATAGTTAGAACTACAGAAGATCTTGGATAACATATAAGCAATACAAATTACAGAATTAGAAGATGTTCGAGTTCTTTTAAATATTATAAAAATTTAAGTTCTTCAGCTAAACTAGATCTCACACAAAAGCTTGAATGTTAAAAAGTTCATTTCACAAAAAAACTGAGGATTGCTCCAATTCTCAGATTCTCCATCCTTCCCCCACCCCTCTCTCCGTCTTAAAATATTTCTAGAAGAAGCTTTCTTCTTCATTTATGTGTGTGAGGATGTTCCCGTTGGATGTCAAAAACATATTTCCATTTAATAATCACGTTGTTACATATCAAGCAGATTTAAAATTACAATTACAAAAATAAATTTTTAGTGTTTTCTTCTTCTAAACTTTCCCTCATTTTGATCAATTCTTTTTTATTAACACTTTGTGAAGCAGATTAGAAAATATAATCACGGAAAAGATTTTTATAGTTTTTTTTTCATCTAAACTTTTTCTCAGTTTTCTTAATTTTGATCAATTCTTTTTAAGTTATCACTTTGAGACATCAACGTATCACGTTGATTAGAAAATACGATGTTAGGTATTGTCCCAAGGGGCAACTTCCCAAGGGTATTTTCCCAAGTGGTAACTTCTCAACTGTGCAATTTCCCAAACAGCAACTTCCCAAGTCTGTTCTAGCCGCAGCGCTCGGCCCCCCGGCATGTTCTAGCCGCGGCGCTCTGGCCCCTAGCCCATCTTAATCGTAGCGCCTCACTTGCAGGCTGAGGCGCCTCAGAGGGCCTAAGCTAACCTAGGGAAATTGCACATTTGAGAATTTGCCACTTGGGAAATTGTCACTTGGGAAGTCGTCCTTGGGAAAATGCTTTGGGAAAGTACCTAACACCAGAAAATAAAATAAAAAATTAAACCTTTTTTCATCTAATCTAATTTTTTTAGTTTTCTTCATTGTGATCTCAATCCTCTCTTTCTGCCTGAAGACTCATCCCAACTTCAGAGTACCAGTCATCAGGAAAACAAGCTTTAAACTAATCTAATTTTAGTTTTTTCTTTTTAGAATCATGATTTGATTTTGATAAATAATCTTTTAAGTTGGAAACAGATCAGTTGCAAAGTTTCACTGTGATACAGTGTGTCCCTCAAATAAGAAAGTTTTATTGTGATACAGTGTGTCCCTCAAATAAGAAAGTTTATTGTGATACAGTGTGCCTCTCAAACAAGAAAGTTTTATTGTGATACAGTGTGTCTCTCAAACAAGACAGTTTTATTGTGATACAGTGTGTCCCTCAAACAAGAAAGATTTATTGTGATACAGTGTGTCCCTCGAAACAAGAAAGTTTTATTGCGATACAGTGTGTCCCTCAAACAAGAAAGTTTTATTGTGATACAGTGTGTAAACAAGAAAGATTTATTGTGATACAGTGTGTCCCTCGAAACAAGAAAGTTTTATTGCGATACAGTGTGTCCCTCAAACAAGAAAGTTTTATTGTGATACAGTGTGTCCCTCGAAACAAGAAAGTTTTATTGCAATACAGTGTGTCCCTCAAACAAGAAAGTTTTATTGTGATACAGTGTGTCCCTCAAACAAGAAAGTGTTATTATGATACAGTGTGTCCCTCAAACAAGAAAGTTTTATTATGATACAGTGTGTCCCTCGAAACAAGAAAGTTTTATTGCGATACAGTGTGTCCCTCAAACAAGAAAGTTTTATTATGATACAGTGTGTCCCTCAAACAAGAAAGTTTTATTGCGATACAGTGTGTCCCTCAAACAAGAAAGTTTTTTTGTGATACAGTGTGTCCCTCAAGCAAGAAAGTTTTATTGTGATACAGTGTGTCCCTCAAATAAGAAAGTTTTGTTGTAATACAGTGTGTCCCTCGAAACAAGAAAGTTTTATTGCGATACAGTGTGTCCCTCAAACAAGAAAGTTTTATTGTGATACATTGTGTCAAACAAGAAAGTGGTGTAAAAGATAATTTGCGGCAATTCGATCAATTCAGAACATTTTGATGTTATTTAATAAATCGTAATCTGAACAAAATTATTGTTCATTGAACACCTTTCTTACGGTCTGTGTAATACAGATCACTACGCACCGAAACCTTAGTTTAGGGTGATACGGTAATATTGAGAGCACCAAAAAAGCAGACCACACTCTGAAAAATGTCAGGACTAGGGGTATTATTATTGTTTTTAGAATCATACTTATTGTATTAGGCAAAAGGGTTGCCGACTTAATGCCGCAAATTATTTCAAAGATCAATGACGATCTTCAAGTCCTCACTCAATCCTCATGATTATACAATTATACAATTCTTTTCACATTCATGGAAAACAAATATTTTTAAATGACTGGATTACAAAAATATTTTGAAAAATGGCCTGAATCCATGATGTCAGAAGATCGTAAAACAAATTTATTTTTCCTTGACACGGAATTTTATAATTCATCAAGCGTACTTTTTACGTTTAAATAAGTTTGATTTTTATAAAATATTTCTATAAACTTTGTGCAGATAATTTTATCTGGAAATCTTATTTCGAAATGATATTAATCCGAAAAAAAATTTCCGAATTTTGTTTATTCTTTCTTTAATCCTTTTCTTTCTAATATATTCCTTTAGATCTTATAATATCTAAAGCTGAGCTTTGTTGAAAGAACATTTTAAACTTTGTCATTTTAATATTCTTTTTCTGAAGTAAGCTTCCGGTATGCCTGTATCTAATATTCTTTAAAACTTGTCGTGTTTTTATTTTAACCTTTTAAATTCGCTAACTGTAATTTAGTTTAGAAAGAATTGTTCCACTTAAAATTAGAGTTTAGTTAATCATTATATTATTATGGGTATAGAAAATTAGAGTTTAGTTAAATTAGAGTTTAGTTTAGTTAGTTAGATTATATTATTATGGGTATAGAAAAAATACTGTTTTAAGGAGAAATTGTTTGACTATGATTTGCACAGGCAGAATATAATCTGTAGACTCTACGTAAATGTACAATATCTAGGACTAGTTGGATTAAGGAAAAATACATCTAGATGTCTAGATATGAAAGAAAGAATATACTCTCCAGGTCCAGATATGAGAAGGGGGAATTCAAATAGGAAGAATAAAATATCCTGTGCTCTAGATATGAGTAGGAAAAATGCAATTTCTAGTTCTGAATATGGGTAGTAATAATGCAATCTCCTGGTCTGGATATTAGTAGGAAGAATACAATCCCTAGTTTTGGATATTAGTAGGAAGAATTGATACAATCTCTAGGACTGGATGTGCATAGGAAGAATACAATCTCCGGGTCCTGATATGAGTAGGAAGATTACAATCTCCAGGTCCAGATATGAGAAGAATTATACAATATCAAGTTCTGGATGTGAGTAGGACGAATACCATCTCAAGGTCCAGATATGAGTAGGGAGAATACAATCTCTAGGTCTGGATATGAGTAGGAGTAATTCATTCTCAGGGTCTAGATTTGAATAAGAAAAATACAATCTCAAGGTACAGATATGAGAAGGAAAAGTAAAATCCACAGGTCCAGCTATGAGAAAGAATAGTACAATCTCCAGGTCTCCATATGAGTAGGAAGAATATAATCTCCAGTTCTGTATATGAGTAAGAAGAATAAATTCTCCAGATCTGGATATGAGTAGGAAGAATATAATATCTAGGTCTGGATGTGAGCAGGAAGAATACAATCTCCAGGTCTGGATGTGAGCAGGAAGAATATAATCTCCAGGTCTGGATGTGAGTAGGAAGAATACAATCTCCAGGTCTGGATGTGAGCAGGAAGAATACAATCTCCAGGTTTGGATATGAGTAGTTAGAATATAATTTCCAGTACTGGATGTGAGTAGGAAGAATATATTCTCCAGATCTGGATATGAGCAGGGAGAATATAATCTCCAGATCTTTGATATGAGCAGGAAGAATATAATCTCCAGATCTGGATATGAGCAGGGAGAATATAATCTCCAGATCTGGATATGAGCAGGAAGAATATAATCTCCGGTTCTGGATATGAGTAGGAAGAATTTATTCTCCAGGTTTGGATGTGAGTAGGAAGAATATAATCTTCAGGTCTGGATGTGAGTAGGAAGAATATATTCTCCAGGTCTGGATGTGAGTAGGAAGAATATAATCTCTAGGTCTGATGTGAGTAGGAAGAATATAATCTCCAGGTCTGGATATTAGCAGGAAGAATATAATCTCCAGGTCTGGATGTGAGAAGGAAGAATATAATCTAAAGTACTGGATGTGAGTAGGAAGAATAAAATCTCCAGGTCTGGATGTGAGTTAGGAAGAATATAAACTCCAGGTATGGATGTGAGTAGGAAGAATATATCTAGATGTAAGAAGAAGGAAAAGCTTAATATTGTTCCCAAGAATATCTGAGCAATATATCTTGAATCTTGACAGCCTGAAGATAGCATACTGACAACAGTTTACGGAGACATTGAGTAATCATCAGAGAATCAAATTATGTCTGGAGGATGGAGGAATAAAGATAACAAACATATTATATCTACGTTAGAATCTAGTTTCTGGACTAAAAAGTACATAGATTTATATATATATATATATATATATATATATATATATATACCTCCACTCCCTATCCTCTTTATCCGATACACCTCCACTCCCTATCCTCTTTATCCGATACACCCTCACTCCCTTTCCTCTTTATACGATACACCCCCTACTCCCTATACTTTTTATCCGATACACCTCCACTCCCTATCCTCTTTATCCGATACACCTCCACTCCTTCTCCTCTTTATACGATACACCCCCACTCCGTATCCTCTTTATCCGATACACCCCCACTCCCTATACTTTTTATCCGATACACCCCCGCTCACTTTCCTCTTTATCCGATACACCTCCACTCCGTATCCTCTTTATCCGATACACCCCCACTCCCTATCCTCTTTATTCGAGACATCCCAACTCCCTATCCTCTTTATACGATACAACTCCACTCCCTCTCCTCTTTATACGATACACCTCCACTCCGTATCCTCTTTATCCGATACACCTCCACTCCCTCTCCTCTTTATACGATACACCTCCACTCCGTATCCTCTTTATCCGATACACCCCCACTCCCTATCCTCTTTATCCGATACACCCCCACTCACTTTCCTCTTTATTCGAGACATCCCAACTCCCTATCCTCTTTATACGATACACCTCCACTCCCTCTCTTCTTTATACGATACACCCCCACTCTCTGTCCTTTTTATACGATACGCCTCCCCTCCCTCCTCTTTATACGATTTTTTGTCAGTCATAAAAATATAGAAGAATTTTTTTAACACTTTTAAGATGTTCTCCCCCTACTCCCCCTACTCGATCCCCCTGTCCATCTTACAAAAGTTCCTAATGGTCTCCGTTAGGTTGTTGATTAGATATTCCCAACCTACTAGCTGAACTTTCTAATGCTGATAGACATTGAATAGCTATAGATGATATAAATTGAGTCAAATCTATTTTGTTTTTCTTTTTACAAAGTTTGTATTAAAGTTTAAACTTTTTTCATCTCTTTCTGGTCTCGTACAAAGAGCACACCGCAACTTTTCAAGAAAAAAGAATTTATTTCATTTTATTTTATTTTTCTTCATGCACGTGTTTTCAAACACGAAAAGAGTCAAAGTAAATAATGTTTTTCAGATTTTTGTTTCAAAATCTTTGATGAATATTTGACGCTAAGAAAAAATTTATTTTTGGAACTTATGTTCTAAAGCTTGATTTTACTCAGGAATATAACAGTGAGCGATCACAGAAATTTCACGTATTGGACTCTAGACAAAGCTCAAACCTATCCACACGAAGCTTTCTTCTTTGTCGAGCTGGTCTGCAACATCTGGTTCACATTCGAGCTCATTATTCGATTCATCGTCACCCCGACAGTCAAGGTGTTCCTCGAGTCGCCTCTCAACTGGATCGACTTTGTTGCTACCCTGAGTTTTCACAGCGACATGCTTCTCCAGTATTATTTTAGTGATATTGAAAACGCGGACATCTTGGAATTCTTTTCTATAATTAGAATTCTTCGTTTATTTAAATTAACCAGACATTCTCCGGGACTAAAAATTCTTATACATACTTTCAAAGCAAGTTCTAAAGAACTAACGCTTCTTGTGTTCTTTCTAGTGCTGGGGATGGTGATTTTTGCAAGTTTAGTTTACTACGCTGAAAGACTTCATACAAACCCTAAAAATGATTTTAAAAGTATCCCCGAAGGATTATGGTGGGCTGTGGTAACTATGACGACGGTAGGATACGGAGATATGGTCCCTAAAACATACGCTGGACTACTAGTTGGTAGTCTCTGTGCTCTATCCGGTGTGCTAGTTATAGCTCTTCCTGTTCCGGTCATAGTCTCAAACTTTTCAATGTTTTATAGTCATACCCAGGCTAGGATGAAACTTCCTAAAAAGCGACGACGAGTAGTCGCGGTTCAACAGCCACGTCGACAACAACGACAACCCCATAACCAACGACGACATGACACCTTTGACACAGGCTTTCATCGACGAGCTAACGTCATTAAACACCACAGTAACCATAACAACAACAACAAAGCTCTTGAAAACAATGGATTACAAGTTCATCCTCCTCCTCCACCTCTACCCAACCATCTTGAAGGTTTGGTTCAAGGAGCTAATCCGTGTCCTATAACAGCAGCTTCCTGCACCACAACAGCTCCGATAGGAAACCAGGAGCTTCCTAAAATACTTCAGAGTACTCCTGGCAAGGTTGAAGGAGGAACGGTTCCGTTGTGCTCTGGTAAGCGTGGATCTAGAGCAAGTATATTTGGAGGTCTCACCCCTCGTCAACCTTCTATAGATGAACCTTATAGACCTTCATATGTACAGAATACACCTAATGTCACATTATACAGTGTCCAGGCCTAAGTTAACTGCTAATTGTATATTGATATTCAAAAAACATGAAACATGCTAATAGACAAAAACATTGTAGTAATGTTTTATGTATTATACAGTTATGGAAACTTTTTAATGTGGATATCGAGATCAATGCTTGATCTTGCTCTTTTGTTAATCTTCAGATTAATTAAATTTTCATTCAATCGTACCCTGATGGCATAACGGAAATGAAAAGATCAAGCATTGAACCTCAAATGAAATGTGCCCGCAGTGGATATCGAGATCAAGGAATCGGTATCATGGTTATACAAGGCAAAATCTCCCAACTCTTGTATACCTCGACGGATAATTCTATAATCACATCTTTCTTAAATAACTTACTTAACAATAGTTATGATTAAACTAATTCTAATGCATCGTGAAGGCTAAGTTGTTCAACTTCTCTTGAACTTGAACCGGTGCACACCTAGTCTATGTAGTTCAGCTACCACATGTTCATTAAATCTGTGCCCTGTAAAAACTTTCTTAACGAATTGTTAATTAGTTTATGTGACCCTTTATATAAGTTAAACCATCATTATCAACGATTTGACACAGCAAACTTTAAACATATGTTTCGTGAAGAATTTTATAATTTCCTCTCTCTTTCTTCTGGAACTGAATAATTCCTCAAGTTGGTTTTGAATGGTTAATTATTCTCAACACGTTGAGGAAAGATTCCGTAAGGCCTTTACGAGTCAAAATTGAACCGGAAGAAATTTGAAACCCTGATGAGAAGCCATCGCAGATTAATACAATTATTTAAATAGAAAAAAAAAATCATACAGTAGATACCTTGATAAAGGGAATTCTTTAAAAACTGGGAATTTTGGTAATATATTTCCTTTCTGACTACAAACCTCCCTCAAGGTTATATTTATCGATTTTAATCATTTTTAAAATTGTTGAAAATTTTCTCAAATTCAATTCTGGGAACGTTTAGAATATCAAACATTTCTTAAAAGAACTGTCATCTGCGTAATTAAAAGTGACCCTCCATGCAAGGATAACAATGCCCAATTTGCGACGGAATCCTTAAAACTTTAATCTCATCAAAAATAAAGAAGATATGTTTATTTAGCAAAAAACGCGCAAGTCACTTTTGCAGATAATCCGCGAATGAAAATAAACAGTTTAACAGGGCAAATCGGGCATGGCCATCTTTGCATTGAAGGTCACTTACAATCACGCTAAAAGGAATACAAATCTGTTATTGCAAACAAGAAAAACTAATTATGTTTAGCTATTTTCATTCACAGTTGAAAAAATGATGAAAACCTCGTCTTGCATCGCTGAATCAAGACGTATTACTGAAATAGCCAAACATCTTTATATTCTAAGACTTGACAGGAACTAAAAACTGTCAAATTGAACCAACTTTGAATATTTATTTTATAAATCCCCTTAAATCTTTTTTTCAACATACGAGGGTCAACCTATTTTTCAAGCTAGCAGGTACTTAAACAAAGCTATTTTACAAGCTAGCATGTACTTAAACAAAGCTATTTTACAAGCTAGCATGTACTTAAACAAAGCTATTTTAGTTTTCATTTTAAAGTTTGGAAATTTGTATGTTTTTAAAATTGTCAGATTTAAAATTGAGAAAATTTTAGAAAATTTACTTAAGTCTAATTTATCAATATGTTTAATATTTAGTTTGACCCCGAAAAATATCTGAACTATGCTGGACTTTCACAAACAAATTGTTAAAACTGACAGTAACTTTAATTTATAATTAATATTATGCTGTTTTTATGATGAAACTAATTTTTTCAGACCTCATTTTATAAATGAAGATAGAAAAAGTTATTTTTATGTTTTATCTCGTTACTCTTAAAATTACCGAAAAAATGTATTATTTATGAATATTGAATATAAATATATTTTAATTTTCTAATTTATCTACAATTAAATAAGTCATGCTGTAAGGTTAGCTTGTCAGGTTAGTTTGTCAGGTTATTTTCTGAGGTTAGTTTGTGAGGTCAGTTTGTGAGGTTAGTTTGTGATGTTAGTTTTTGAGGTTAGTTTGTGATGTTATTTTGTGAGGTTAGTTTGTGAGGTTAGTTTGTGATGCTAGTTTGTGATGTTAGTTTGTGAGATTAGTTTGTGAGGTTAGTTTGTGAGGTTATTTTGTGAGGTTAGTTTATTAGGTTTGTTTGTGAGGTTAGTTTGTGATGTTAGTTTGTGAGGTTAGTTCATGAGGATAGTTTGTCAGATTAGTTTGTGAGGTTATTTTGTGTGGTTAGATTGTGAGGTTAGTTTGAAAGGTTAGTTTGTGAGGTTAGTTTGTCAGGTTATTTTGTGAGGTTAGTTTGAAAGGTTAGTTTGTGAGGTTAGTTTGTCAGCGTATTTTGTGAGGTTAGTTTGTCAGAATAGTTTGTCAGGGTAGTTTGTTAGATTAGTTTTGCCTCAACTAACTTAGTTTGTTCCCTATCTGCAGTTCAGAAAGAATTTATCTGTTTAAAAGATACACGTTGTGACGTTAAAAGACAGATATAGAATCGTTAAATTCGCAGTTTGTTTCCTATCCAACTTGTTGGTTTCATGATACGTAATAAGCTCTCGTACGCAAAAACATACGCTTTTTTGTCTCTGAAATTATAATTTGAAAAAAAAATTTTGCAGCAAACTCTGATTTTTTAATCTCTAATAACTTTTAAGCCCATCGCGATGGCCCTTTGAGATATCAAATTATGAACTCTGTTAGATCAAATATTTATTTAAAGTTTGAAATATCAATGGTTAACATCACCAAGTTGCGAAGTTAAAATGGAACAGATGGTGAAATTTAGTCGTTCTTATATTTGAGTTCTTATGGCCAACTGGACTCCATATGGTCTTTGGAAAAATATACTTAATAACATCTGAAAAAACGTGAATAGAATACAATTAATTCTTCAAAATAAGATGCGTTATTTGCATACTCTATCCAATAATTAATTAAACAAGTCTCGAAAAAAGACCGATATTGATATTTCCCTTTCAACAAACAATTTTCATAATTATATTAATTACTGCAATTTTAATGTTTATCGTTAGAAGTTTAAATTAAAACTTAAAATTGTGTCCGATAATATTAATATAATCATATAATACCATATACAATGTTCGGGTAAAGGAATTGAGTATGTGCCACTAACTCAAATTTTCCAATCCATATATCTTTGCAACCGGACGGTGTACAACTAAGATAATTTTTTTACCAGAGTCCATGGTTAATTTGAAATATATAAGGTCTAGAACATTGGGTTGCAAAGATATAGTGATTAACCAGAACTTGTGGAAAAGACTAAATCTCTTTCTGATTTAGAATATTTTATATTACGAACATCTTTGCACCCTTCCAGAACGTTTCAGTATTACATGACATGAGTATGAAAAGAATCTATTTCCTCCTTTTCCTAGTTCTCATACCTACTTCAAGTTTGCTAAGCATCTATATATAAATTTGGCTTGTTTGTCTGTCTGTTTGTTTGTCTGTTTGTTTGTTTGTATCCAATAAACGTCAAAACGGCTGAACCGATCGGGCCCAAATTTTTTGTGGGACATCTAGGGAGCCCAGGGAAGGTTTATGAATCATCAAAATTTCAAATATTTGTCTCTATCAAAATTCGATCGTCATTAAATTTTTTAAAATTTTGAAAATCCGCAAAATTTTTTGTAAAAATCCGCGAATTATTTTTGTTTAGTTTTACGATGTACACAAAGAGAACATGTTTACAATTAATTTAGAAGATGGGCGCGAAGCGCCCTCTAAGGCTAGAAAGAAGGGCGCGAAGCGCCTTGAATTTCTAGTATGAAATAAAAGTAGAATAAAAAGTATAACTTTGAATGCATGTAATATGAAACTGGTTGAAAGTTAAAGTTTCAGATTATGGTCGGATATATAAGAGTTTATCTTCAACTTTTATATTTTTTATCAAGTTTTCAGATTTTTCTGAACAATTCTATACTCTTGCGTAATCAAACCTAAAGAATTCGTCGGTTCGTTCTTAGCAAGGTTCTTTAATAAGGTTGGTTACCCAAGATGCACTCCAAGGTACGGAAAATGTCGTCTCCTTAGCATAGATAGAATCCTCATATGACGTCACTGATTATAAAGGCGAGCGTGACGTTATATGAAGATGATACAAAGAGTATGTCTGAAATACTCCTTGGGATCTAACTATGCTAAGGAGACGACATTTTATGTACATTGGAGCGCATTGAGAGTAACCAACCTTATTAAAGAACCTTGGTAATTAATAATGGCAGACAGCCTTTGGTATATCGGGAGTTCCGGCCATGAATGGAATTGCGCCAAAATTTTAATTTTCATATTTTTGCTTTTTTATGGTGTAAACCTTTAATATCTCAAACGGTTTGATCTAAAAAGTTCAAAGCTTGAACTTTTGTAGGTTGCTTTCAAACTGTAACAGTAACATTTGGATACAAAATTAGAATCAATTGACATTTAAACAATGAAATGATAAAAACAAGAATTTTTCATCCAATAAACATTAAATGATAAACCACTGAGAGCCTTCCGGGATTCAATAAAAACAATTGAAAATTGGCGTAATAAAAAATTGTTACATTCGAAAGCAAATTTTAATAAGATAATGCATTTTCATTTCTGATTAATCAGCCTTCAAATCTAGAATTTTTATTAATTATCTACATAAATCGTAAATTTTTATCAAACGCAACGAAAAAAAAAGCGTAAATATGAAAACGAGATCAAAAGTAACAGATTACACTGAAATCCAAACATTTCGTTCATAATATTCAACTTATCAAAAGCATTTCAAAATGATTAAGGTTTGTAGTAAATACCTACTCCATAATAGTTTCTCAAATAAGTATCTATCCAGGTACAACTCAGATTCTCTTGACTATTAATGTCAACACTGCAGCTACAATCCCGTGACTTATCAATGTCTCAACTAGGACACGATCCACACGGCTACAATCCCTTGAACTATCAACGCCACTAACACTGAATGTACGTATTTAAAGGTATAAATATATATAAATATAATATAGATATAAATGTAGTTAATCTAATCATAATACATGTTTTAATCATATAACCTATGCTCATGTTTAATATATCTAGGTATGTTCAGGTTAACAAATATGGAGATTGGTGGATTTCCTACACGCCTCTATATTTGCTACAGGTTATGTTAGATATTACGAACAGAATTTCATGAACGTTAAAACTTGTGAGATATCATTTTAACATTCTGCTCATATTTTCGAACAAACTACAAGCTTTGCTGATTAATTTTTTTGATACATATTCTTTTTTTTAAATCATTTTTCCTTCTGTCCTACGACTTTTTAGAATTATCTATAGATATAAAGTTGTAATCTCTGTCTGTCTGTCTGTTTGTTTGTCAGGAACCCCTGATTTGCCTCACCTTTGATTAGGAAACTCGTGAGAACCATGAAAATGTTCTTAGCCTGGTTTTGAGATTCTAGTTACAGCGAAAATTTAGTTTCCCGGAAAAATCGACCAAGTGCAGGTAAATGGCGGGATTAACTATGAGTAACCTGGATATTCCCACCTCCCAAGCTTGTATTTCATGAAAGAACTGAATTTAAATATTCTTTATAATTTTGTTCATAATCTAATAATGCAATATTGAGAAAAATACAAAAATTAAACCAGTTCTGATGTTAAAACTTTTATATTGGCTCAGTAAATTAAGATATAATTACAAAATATAAAATTACAAAATATATAATAACAAAACATATAATTACAGAAAGTGTCTTAATTCCATTCCTAACCCTGAAAAACTAATTTTTGGTTCAAAAATGTATGGATGAGAATAATAGGATTTGTGGCAAAGACTCCATTCCTTTAAAGATAACATTGAAAAACATTGAAGCACATAAAAAACATCAAAATGCATAATATTTTGTAATTCAACCAATAAGCGTGGTTAAAACAAGAAGACGGCGTTTAAAAGCAGGAAACAAGAATAAAATTCTCCGTTTCGGTTTATTTTCAATTCCATTAATTCTTTTTTCAAAAACAGCTTGTTCCGTTAGTTAAATATGTGAAAATTAACGGGTTTGCCGTTCGTTAACGGACGTTAATTCCTTTCATTTTCAAAAACCTCCGTTTCGCTTTGCACAGCTCTAATAGAGAATCCTTGAATTAAGCAGATATTCGAATATTTGCTGTGGAAAGGATACAACTTATTTTCTCTTATATCTTGTGGTCAAAATCTATGGTAGGGATTACCAAAATTAATTATTGTGGATATCGAGATCAAGGGTTGTAGATCAGAGCTATTTCATTATAAAGTTTTAAAAATCAATAAAGTTTTTTTTGCCATGATCTTAATAATTATAAACTTTTTCATCATAATTGTACATTTATTTATTTCATTTAATGTTGTCACTAAAACCTTGAGTTAAATTTGTATAAAAGATGGAAAAGTTTTCGAAAAGTTTCAGTTCAAACATTAGTTTTAGTTTGAGAACAATTTATTGATTACGATAAGACATATTTAGAGGAGGGACCAGGGGCGAAACTTTTATACTGAATGGGACTCTAATGGTAATTTCAAGTGACCCTCCATGCAAAGATTGTCCTGCCTGATTCACAACGGTATAGTTGAAACCATTATTAGACCTATATTATATTAGTGCTTAATTCTTATAATTCCTATATGTTTCCTGCAGAAGAAATGTGCAAGTATACACATTGATTTATAATCCAGACTTGATCCGACAACTCTTTTAAGAGTACCGTTTTTAATCGGGCGTTTCCACCTTTGCATGGAGGGTCACTAAAAATTACACGTATAGTCCCTTTTATAACTGTGACATCAGCATTCAGCCAATTCATTTCACC